AGATTTCGACAAAAAATGCATTTGCTTTCAACAAAAATGCAATGTGCCAAATGAACAAATCCTTTGTTTTTAATAATGATACCCTCTATAATAGTTTCACCGCCATCCTTAACTCTTTAATTTTTAATTTTACATCTTATATTAGATTTATTTACGGTGGGTATCTACGCTAGGGCATTGAAACCTGTTATATCAATCTAAAAAAAACAGCATCCCTCAATGAGTTTTATCTTTCAGATTGTGCTCTTATAATAATTACTTATAATATACCTGACATTTGTGTAAGTTTTAATAACAAAACATATAAGATTTATAAAAAATGTCAGGATTTTTGTCACTTATTCAATTGAATATAGGTTACCAGATAAATAGTAATAGCTGATATTATTAAACTAGTTTCATTTATTTATAGTAAATATGTAAACAATTTAGGAGTGAAATAATTTTTAAAAAATGGCTTGCAGTTAAAAGCCACTTTTATCGGAAAACATTTGAATAAGTTCAAGGTCGAAATATAAAGTGATGCAGGAAATCGGTTTATTGATAAGACATCATCACGCTACTTTAAATTGCATAAATTTATATTATTAGTATTTCCATTTCCATTGATTTCTTTTGCTCCTCTGCTTGTGATGAGGGCGGCAAGGAGAGAGTAAAAAGGTAGATTTTTAATTTGTTAGAGTCTACCATATTTTTGTTTCATACTGCAGTAAAGTAAAAAGCCAATAAAAAATATAATAATATTAATAAATAGTGTCTGTTTTACTAAAACAACGATAGTGACAAGGTGGCAATTCAATAGGCTTTTGTATAAACATATATATTACAGTTTTTAATTTGAAGTATTACTAAAATAAAATTGCCGCAAAGATTGACATACATTAGAGATTTCTATAGTTTTTAATTAAAAAAATCATATGGTAATTAGTAATTACAATTAAAACAACAAATGACATGGATAAAACACAAAATGTGGCTTATATATCCTAATATTCAATCTAGGTCACAACTAACACCGCATCTTAACATCAGTAAATCCAATCATAAATAAGTAGGGGAGACGAGATCACAATGATACATTTAGTTTACTTTACTATATAATACAATTTACAACACTTTTTAGAATACAATTTAATAGCCGTAGCACGTACTATAGCGACCCATACATTATCAAACAAATTGCGCAACGCAGGCTGTTGCGCAACGAATTGCCAATGCATGGTAGTGTTTGATGCGTTGCGCAATTGTCTAATAAGTTTCAAGAATGTTTGAATTCTTTTGTGCAACAGGACTGTTTGCGCAACGCGTTGTGTAGTGTATGTGTGTGTGTTGCGCTTCGTTGTGCAATATTTTAGTTTTTTCATACAAATTCTTTGTTTTCTTTTTCGTTTTTTGTTATCATCGACATGATCTAGGGTATATACGATAATAATTGGCGCAATGGCAATTGAGGATATGATTGTTTCTCAAACAATGCACAACTTTTAATAAAAAGTTTGATCAAAATTTTACTAAGTGCATGGGTGATGCAGTTGTGCAACGGAACGTTGCGCATCGCTTTGTTGCGCAACTTGTTTGATAGTGTATGGACCGCTGAATCAGTTGTGCAACGCAGCGTTGCGCAGCGCTTTGTTGCGCAATTTGTTTGATAATGTATGGGCCGCTTAACGCTTTATACCGATCGGGTCAGGCAAACTATGTTTGGATTTTAACGTGTAAGATTTTAACGTAAGACAATGATGTAGACAAATGGAAAATCAAATGTATTAAAAAGAGAAAAAAATTGGGTTGATACATTTCTTCTGTGCGGTATTGCCGGATTTTGCATCAAAATTTCAAACCGCACAAGTAGGCGTTTCCAAAAAATGTTGCATCTATGGTTGGATCTTGATTTTCGACAATTAGTTACTCATTTTACTACAACTGTAATAGATTATACCGTATGATCGAAAAAAAACGGCGTCCAGTTGGCTTGGAAATGACATCGTTGACATTCCGCATATAATTTTACATATAAAATGACAGCGATCTTCATTTCATAGTGACGCCGTTTTTATCCGATCATACGGTATAATAATAATAGCTCCCGTATACATATAGCGTTTAACGCCTTGGGAGTGGCAAGGTACAGCTTGCCATGCTAGAGCCGTTCAGTATACAAGGAAGGTAATGTGGCTAGCACTACGCTTCAACCACCTATTATTACCTCGGGATTGTGAATCCCAAGTCCAAGTATTTTTATTTTAATAAAAATAGTTGGATGATGAAATGCCGGCTGTGGAATTCGAACCCACAATCTTTAAATTGGTAGACGAGAGCTGTACCTCTACGCCACCGGGCACCTCAATAGATTATATTTAGCTTAGATATATTATCTTCATTTCAGTAGTATACATAAAAGTTTTTAACATAGTTTATTTTATTCTAATATCTTTAAGACTAAGATAATACTGGTTCGGCAAGAGGAAATCTTGTCTCTACGTCTAGAAGAGAATCGCTATGGCAATCTTGTAAGTCGGGGAGAGAAAAATGCGAAGTTTATTACCTATTTACTTAATCCGGAGCTTAACTTCATGCGCTTGGGAAAATTCTTGCTCTTTTCTCTTTATTCAGTTATATAATCACAGAGTCTATAGCTGCACGAAAATCGGCACACAAAGCCGTGTGTACATATCATTAAATAAACTAACCAAAAAATATGCTCTATTACGTAGTCACGTACATCCGCAGTTGCATAATGAGACAGATAATCAATTAATTACATAATGTAGTAAATAGCGCAAATGCTGTTGTCGACTAATCTGATCAGTATTAAATGCAGTCTTAAATGCTACAAAAGTAAATATGTTGTTGGTTGTGAAACTTAAACATGACAAACCGATTTTTTGGCACTTAGAACATTATTTACTTCAAGTCTTCACATGACGGTGATAGTTGTTCTCTATCATTTTAATTCGCTCATGGTAAATTGTATTTTATATTTTTTTAATAATTTTTTATAGATTCTTTTTGGAAATAATTTATCATTATTATTTATTATTTCCTGTCATTGTCAGTCGACATCTTTTCGTATCATTGTACGGACTTTATAATACTACAATCTATATACAGGGTGTTTCAAAACAAATGCGAAAAACTTCAAAGGGCGATTCCTTGTTCAAAATAAAGGGTAGTTTGCTTCATAAACGTTGGGTCAAAAGTCAACCATTAGGGAGATATTGCGGTACAAAGATGGCGGAAAAATAATGTTTTTATTTTTTATCTTGAAAACGAAAAGAGATAGACTAATAAAATTTTATGGAAGCATTACTTATGAAAACACACTTTCTGGTAATTTTTTCACTTTTTTAAAATGAGTGGAAGGGGTTGAAATAAACTACCCTTATCATTCTTGTTAACGAAATTTAAAGAAAAATCTTATCAAACACATGCAAAAAAATTAATTTGGATAGTTTAGTTTGTTTAGAAACTTTTTATCTCTCGTATTTTTTGATAAAACTCATCGATTTGAAATTAAAAAATAAAATGTAAAGCATTACATGTCAGGACAAAAAACATTTTCTGATAAAGAATCTAGTGGGCTGCTGTAATTTTTTTTAGGAAAAAATCTAGTCGGCCGCTGTTACTTTTTAGGATGTTCCTAATATTATTTTATTTGACATTACTCTACTGCAATACGTTATTATCTAGATGATTATTAATCATCTAGATAATAACAACTTAATCTAAAAATGTTTTTTGTCCTGACATGTAATTCTTTACATTTTATTTTTTAATTTCCAATCGGTGAGTTTTATCAAAAAAACACAAGAGGTAAAAAATTTCTAAACAAACTGAACTATCCAAATTAAAGCAGTTGCATGTGTTTGATAAGATTTTTCTTTAAATTTCGTTAACAAGAATGATAGGGGTAGTTTATTTCAACCCCTTCCACTCATTTTAAAAAAGTAAAAAAATTACCTGAACGTGTGTTTTTATAACAGTAATGCTTCCATAAAATTTCATTAGTCTATCTCTTTTCGTTTTCAAGATAAAAAATAAAGACATTATTTTTCCGACATCTTTGTACCGCGATATCTCCCTAATGGTTGACTTTTGACCCAACGTTTATAAAGCAAACTACCCTTTATTTTGAACAAGGAATCACCCCCTAAAGTTTTTCGCATTTGTTTTGCAACACCCTGTAGAACTAAATACATAATGCAGGTTTAAGCTCATTTTAGTTCATATACACTATACATATAAGTTGCTTTCCTTGTTTAATTTTTATCAATAAAATAACTTATAAACACAAGTTACCTCATGAATAGAGTTATTTTTCGTCTCGTATTGTTGGACAAAAAAGCATAACACAATAAAACTCCGAAGAGTTTGTAACTTAATGCTACTGTAACTTTTAAAAAGTTCGACGTTCCTATTCGCGGGCAAGTTTCCCCTAGACGTACATAAAGCATTTTCAAAACTGAACGCACACATAACCTAGTTTCGAAAGTCGTTTACATAAACTCCACATCTTTTAAGTACTACCAGTGGAATTAAATTTTGTAATCAAGTACAGAGGTTGAAAAATAAAACGTGTTAGACTTTTTGTCTAACCGCTCATTAGTTCATCGTATCCTGATTTTGTCGTGGTTATTTTCCATGAAATAATAAGATAATAAATAATAAGAATTACGTGCAGTCAGATGTTAGAAATTATTTTTAATTAATTATTTATACTCATCGTAATTAGTTAATTATTTCATGTGATTAAAATATGCTTTGCGTAACTTTGGCGTAACAGACATAGGCATTTAAATCCACAGAACTGTAGCATATTTGACTATACATAATTGAATAATGAATTTAAATTACTATATGTATAACTCTGTCAAAAGACTTAATACAGATACAACTAAGTGTTGCAGGAAAAGAAACTGAATGTTTAAAAAAAATTAAAAGTGTTCATTTTAACAATAATAATAAAAATAATGTAAATAATTTTGTCCCTTTTCACTTACCTATCACAGTTATGCACCTCTCCTGTAGGCTGACGTCTTTGGCTTTTTGTGAAATTTGAACGTACGACCCGCTACTTTCTTTAATTTGTTTAATAAAGTTTCCTGCTTTGCCAATTATCATGCCCGCAGTACTATTTGGAACTAAAATTTTCACCTAAAACAAAAGTCAATAATAATAAAAATAAATTAGAAAAAATATATTTTTTTAAATTTTAAAAGACTTTTGGAGATCTGATCCCAACGGTGCTTCTACCGTACCATTTTAATAATTCTCAAAATATTCAATAAATATTAAAATTACACCTTAGAAAATGTGGTGGAGGGTTCAGTTATTTTTTTTATTTTAGCACCCATAACTACATGTCCGAACAGTATTTATAACTTCAAGCTGTTTCCAAATTAGAATCAGATCATAAAAAAATGATTGTGGATGATTAAAATAAGCATAACGTTGTATACGCAATATTTGATTAGATTAGATTAGATTGCTAGAGCTGGCTATCGGTCTGATCCACTACGACCTTCTCAGATCTGTTGTGGTCCTCTTCTGATTCTTAGGTTACATTCTTCAGTCCTATTATTTTCACAAAGTCTAGCAACTTGAAGATTAAACCCTCCATATAGCTATCTGGCAATGGCCTATTACCGAGAATCTCACATTTGCCAGGCTGTCGCACCGACATAAAATATGTTCTGTCGTTTCTTCTTCAGAATGGCAGAAACTACACATGCCTTCGTCCGTCAATCCCATTAGCTTTAGATACCTATTAGCTTACAATGCTCTGTTAGTAGACCCACTACAGCTTTGACTGTCTTTCTGTCCTTGCTTATCAGGTCTACCGTGAATTTTGGCGAATGTTCTACTATAAACTTTATCGCCTGTCTCTGCCCTGGTGAGTTTTTCCACCATTCTAGGGACTTGTTAGCCACCCATCATTCCGTAGCCATTCTCGTTACTGCATTTGCAACGCCGCAGAAGGGTTGAATGGGCCTATGAATGACATTGATAAGCCTTGCCTGGCCCTTTTATCTGTCTTTTCGTTACCCTTGTGACCCTCGTACCCTGGTACCCAGGCCATCGTAACAATGCTGCGTTCACTTAAAATATTTAGAGCACGCACACAGTCCCACACTAGTCTGAAATTGACCTGCGTGGAACCGAGCGCCTTTAGCGCTGATTGGCTATCTGTGAAGATGGTCACAGAATCGAATCTAATTTAATCTAATACTCAATAAACGTACAATGTCGAAAATTTGAAAACGGTCATAAATCGTAATAAAACTACTCGTATGACTTAAAGGTTAAAAAAACAAATTTTTAACACTGAAAAAGTTGTTTTATAGACTTGATTTCAACAGACAGTCGAAAGCAAATTTTTATCTGTAATTACTAGAATGCACTAATAATATTAAACAATACGGGTGCATCTTCGTTGAAAACATAGGGAATCCCATGCAAATCTTGAACTATCCAAATATTGGCTCCTATAATAATTTTATAAGTGGCAAATAGGGTTTCCAAAGATCTGCCTATGCAAACACATGCGAAATTTGAACAATTTTAAACAAGCCGATTTTAAGTAATTTAAGAAAAACTGTATCTATTCATAAATTAAAACTGAACAAAAAGGTAACAATGCAAAATCGGTCAACTGTCAACATACCTTAAGTTGTCAACCTACGATTTTTTCATTGTCAAATCTAATATGTAATAGGTGATACCAATATAGGTAATATTTAATTTTAATTATTTTAATATAAAAAAGCACTTACTTGTTTGTCTCTCTCTTGAGTTAATTTACTATCACCAGCTTCTATAACAGGCTTCGTCAAATCAGGCTTTTCTTTAATTTTTTCCATTATAAAATCTAAAACTACCATTATAGCATCCACGCTACCTGTGATTAAACACACTCTTTCTGTCGTGCCTGAAACAATATAACAAGATTATTTAGTTTCTATATATCCGGGTAGAACCTGCTAACATTATAAGAAAAATATTTCAATATTATTAGCCACACAAGATCTTAATCATAATCTTTGAATAAAAAGACTAACGAAGGAGTCTACTATAATATTTACATAATCAAGCATTACCGGTGAAATCGGCATCCATTACATATTTGACAGTTTTGTATGACTAGGTAGTTTTATTAATAAAACTTATCTATTTCATTAGAAATATATATTTTTAACAATATTAATATCTTATTTACTGTCAACGTAGGCTAGACTCAAATTATTGAGTCTAGTAACATTAGTGTTTGTTAGTGTGTGTAAACATGACAATTCTTTATTGGAATACGATGAAGGCTTTTAGCCGAAACGGTTGTTTTTTGAAAATTAAAGACCACGAAAAAAAGTTGCTTTTCTGCTTATTTCTCCTATGACTTGTGCTGTGATTGACTCACTAGTCATTGTGCTCACTAGCAAAATAACAGTTTTAGGTACAGCACCAACTTTATTACCAACAAATATAAATATCACACAAATATTAGTCTGATCACACGATCCACTTTTATCGATAACATTTCATCAGCTAAATCGTCAAATTTGCCTCGTAAATTTGTTCAGCCTCGTAAATTTGTTGGGGTAATAATAACTAAAACTATGAGATTTTCCACTATACATAAAATTGATACCGCACTCCAGAAGGTCTAGCTTTTTTTGTTTCAAAATATCCAATACTGCGTAGCACTGTCACTGTTGCCGTAGTTTTGGAGTCGCCAATACTCATATGGGTTACTTGACGATCAAGTAGATTTTTTTAGCATTAGCTAGTGTCACATACACATCTTCCTCGCAATTTTCCATAATGCTAAACTCATGAAATGATTTAGCTCCTGCAGCTGTCATTCCAGCGTCAAAGTAGGATATACCGGGTGCGTCTTAAAAGTGGTTCACCCCTATAACTTTTTTATTTTTTTAGATAAAAAAACGACATTTGGTATGTTAGTATATGACATAAATTTGGATTGATTGACGTATTCAATTGTTTTCGGTCACTTTCTGTTTCAGCGGAAATGAGTACAACTTTTGATTTTTAAGTGGCACCCTCGGTATTTTTTTACTTTATTCGATAGAAAATAACAGATTAATAATAAAATGATATATCATATGTCAACTTTTGAGATTTTCGCATATGGTTTATTTAAAATTATAACTTGCGGTTCGTAACAAAAATGGGACTCAAAATACCAAATGTGCGGTATCAAATTATTCGTAAAAAATGCTTTTTCCAAATATGCTAATAAGCTCATTCCATTTAAAAAAATTGAGATATGATTAAAAATACGATTTGAGCATTTTCTAACTGGCCCGGACAAGACACTAAAAACATTAGACGATCAAATCTATTTTTCCAAGGCGCCTTGATTAAGAATTAGTGTTTTTGACATAACCTTGGCACTCTAAATTCAATTTTAAAATACAAATTTTTAATAAGCGAGAATGTCAAAAATTGACATATGTATGATATATCATTCTATTGAGAATGTCATTTTCTATCGAATAAAGTATAAAAATACCGAGGGTGCCATTTAAAAATCAAACGTTGTAATCAACAAAAAACAACTGAATACGTCAACCAATCCTAATTTATGTCACATACTAACATACCAAATCGCGTTTTTTTTTATCTGAAAAAAATTAAGTTATAGGGGTGAGCCACTTTTGAGACGCACCCGGTATATATCGTTCTTTTGTATCTTCAGAGCAACGCGAAAGTCCTAAAGATTGAGCTACATTGACTGTGTGAATGTGAATGAATAAAATTAATATGTAGAGCGACATTTAAATCTCTCTTCAATAAAGATGATGTTTTTAAAGTATGTTCCGTCACTTTTAGCCATGCCACCCTACGTCATTAAGATCTGTGCGTTTTTTTTTCATTTAATTACATGTATTGCGTACACGCTAGGCAACACGCAAACCCACGTCATTCCGCGCTATCACACGTGTGTCGTCTGTCCCATATCTCATGTGTACACTCTTTGACACGTCGCAACACGTGGGCCCACGTGGGATAGCTCACGTGGGATAGCTCACGTGCGATAGCGTGGCATCGCGTGGCCTGTGGCCTAATGGGGTCCCGGCTTAAACGTGCCACTTCACATGTTAATATCAATGTCCTTTTTTACCTTTGTAAATAAAAAAGTGGTGTAATAGGTGTTAAATATAAGTAATAATGAAGTTAAGGTATATTGAATTGACAATTTGAATTTTATTTCAGTAACTCAAAAACATTTTTCAAGTTTGTAGAATGTAGATAGAAAAAAAATTAAAATTAATACCTCAATTCCTTTTGGTTTTCCAGTTATATAATACACAAAACGTGTTTTTCCAACGCTAAGTTCACTTCAATATAAAACAAACGATAAAAGAAAGATACCGTTTTCCTGCACTCTCTCAAAGCTTCTCCCGGTTTTCCGCGTTGTTTTTATAGGATATGGAGCAGGATAAGCTATGAGTTTTTTGCCCCATATTTCGCAATACGTTGGGAAATTTGTGAGGGTCCCCAAAGGTTACCAAAACATGTGGGAGATATTTTCTTTATTGCTTAGAATATAAAGAAAATATATAGAAAAAATAAAGCAATATAAAGTAAAAGAAAATCATGCTGAAAAAATCAGCTACAAATTTAGTTTTTAATTTATCAGCCAGAGTTATTTTCTTTTTTTTTACATATTTTTAATACCTCTAATAAAGGACTAAATATCTATGTCAATAAAATATATTTAAATTTAATCTTAAATCTCTGGCGAAGTAACTCGCTTCATTCAGAACCTCGCAATTAGTGGAATAAATTAGCGGTTTCAATTACACTTTACACTTTTTAGTTTACGATCATTCACAATATTGAACAGGTTGCGTTAGTTGTATACATATAGAGAAAGCCTAATGCCGGGTCCAGACCAAGCAGACAAAACACTGACAAGACAGAAACATTCATGTTTTACGACAAAATTGCGACAAATCCAATACATTTCTGCGACATTTTTGTCTCATTTTTGTTTTGTTTCAAAATTCGAAGATTTTTCAATGTCCCGTCTCGAGTCGGTAAAGATCAAAGTGTCTATGTTTTGTTCGTATATTTTACGACAAGTTGTCGGCGCAGTGTGGATGGCATGTGCTGCCATCAGTAGGAGACCAGTGAAATCACACATGGTTAATAAAACTCGTTCGCAACAATTAAACTTTTGACTTTGTTGCACTTTTGTTCTTGCGGTGTGGACAATTTGTCTCAACTTTGTCTTGTCAGAATTCCCCATTTTTTGTCGCAAGTTTGTCTTGTTTTTGTCTCAAAATCGTGTTTACTTTTTATCGCCTTGCTCTAGACCCGGCATAATATTAAACTTATAAAACAATCAACTTTTGATTTCTAACCACAATTTCTCTTGACCGAAGATAATCAAAGACCAAAATAACATTCCTCGCAAATTTTGAAGTATAACTAATTAGTGAAAAAGTTAAAAGTTTGATAACTTTTTCTACTAATTGAAAATGTCTACCACTAATTTTGACTTTCTGAATACTTACATTGAAATTAAAGAAACAAACTTCTACGCTAATTGAAACCACTTTAGTTATTCCACTAATTACGAGGTTCAGAATGAAGCTTAATTAATGATTAATTGGAGCCTAAATATATATAATAATTGTTCGGCCATAAAACTAGATTCGTGGAGACCCAGATACGCAACTGATTCTAGGGATTCTGAAAAATTCGCATCCTATCATCCTATTGACGAGTTGAGGACAATCAAATTTCGGTTATATTCGTTCGATATGGTAATAGAGAGCGCATGCAATCACGTTTGGTTGAATTGTCAGTAAACAAACTTGATTAAACTACGCTGATTGGCAAAACAAAAGATGGGGCAGTCGTGTATTTTGTCCCCTTTTATTTGTTCAGGCTGCGGTTGGTCACTTTCATAAAACGCTTCTCCTGTTGCTGTAAATCCAAATAACCTGAGTAGTTTCAGAGAAAATATAAGAAAATAGACACTTTATCAGCTTTGGATAAATAAAACTAAAGAAGGGCTTGTATTATCTATATATTCATGTATTAGAGGTAGGGTGGAAAGATGTAAATCAACTTGATTTAAATCAACAGATTTTTTATATTTTAATGATGAAATTTAAAGAATAAAGTTCAGCTTACTTAAAAAACTTGATCGAAAATTAACTGTAAAAGTTATAATTTTTTTTTCTATAAAACTATAAAGAATTATTCCTATTACAAATATATCTTATTCATCAAATAAAAAGTTATACTTGCTTGCGTAATTAAAAGTTAATTACTTGCGTAACGTTTAAATACTTTGAATAAATTGAAAAATAAGTGTAAAAGATATAATACATATATAGTTGTTGGGCTTTATCTTATGTTATTTATAATTTATTTCTATAATTGGTTTTGTTCAGAAGTTAATTAAAAGGATATTGTGGTAGAACTTCGGTTAACAATGACATTATTTCGAATTCCAAAAAAAAAACTAAAAAATATTGAGTTTTCTATAGTGTGCAGTAGGTCGTAGGTCTCCTATCTAAATCGAAAGAAATATGGGAATAACTTTTCACTGGTAAGTATATACAGGGTGAGTCTTAAATAAGTGCAAATATTTTCATGGCTGGTAGATCTCGATAAAAGTCGTAGCTTCTATAATAAATAAATAAGAAATTTTGTGCAGATGTCCCCCACTCGTGTCGAACTCTAATGTATGCCAATAACAAATATTTGCCAAGTACACGAGTCGTCTGAGCGCGCTATAATATTTTTATTCAAAGACTTGTTGTTTCGATTGCACATAAGATTTTTTTTATTTTAAGAAAGAAAAATGAAATAAACTATCCACGAGGAAAATTTTCAACACTTATGTCCCTATTCAATCGACTTCTGAAAATCCACTTAAATCCACTTGTGCAA